CCCTGGGGGGCCCACCCCCCCCCCCCCCCGTGCCAGGGTGACCCTCGGGTCCTGATCCCCTCTCTGCCCATGAGTGCAGGGGGCAGCCAGGGACAGAGGCTGTGAACCGGTGGCTGCCATGTGCTGTTTGGCCCGAGTGGTCTGTCTTGAAGTCCACAGGGAGAAACTGGAACACCTAGCCCTCGCTCCCACATGGGTCTGAGCCCACCAGTTTGCTACGGGCTGCACCGCCCCCTCCTGCCTCTGATCCTGAGGCCAAGGCTGAGGCCTGGCGTCTGTTAGACCCTCAGGGCGCCGTCAGCACTGTGCCGTGTCTCTCCAGAGCAGGAATTCGGAGACCCAAGCTGTGCTTCAAGAGAAGGGATGACTGCACGGAGGCGAAGACACGCTGGGAGCACTGGCATTGGCCCACGCCACTGCCCGGCCCCCAAAGACATTGGAGTCTGTGGCTGGAACAAGTGCCCCAGGGTCTGGCCTAGACCCCGCTCACGTCTCGATCTCCTGACACCTGCAGTGTCTAGTCGCCCAGTCATGCCGGGCCATGGGCATCTTCCCAGAAATGCCTTTCATCTCTGCCCTCTGCCTGGAATCGCTTTCCCCATCTCCCTCCTCCTCCACGGCCACCCTGTCTCCTGAGCGCACCCCTGAGCATCCTCCCAGGCCACGGCCAGCTCGAATGTCCCCGACCCCAGGGGTGGGGCTGGTCACTGTGTCCTCTGCACCGGCCTCTCTAACACGTTTTGGTTCCCAGCAGTTTTTCTCCCATTAGCCCGAAGGCCTGGAAGGTGAAAACGCACAGCTCCGGTGCGTGGCCTGGGCTGGAGACGGCGAGGACCCCGAGGTGCCATGCAGGAGTAAGCCGGCCCACAGGACACATGAGGGCGCATCACCTGGGCTTCTGTCGGGGGAGAGGGGCGAGGGCACTGGCTCACCATTCACCTGCTGTGTGTGCCCAGGTGAGTGGCTTACCCTCTCTGTGCTCGGTTCCCTCAACTACGAAACAGCAGCAATCAGTATTTGCCACGTAGGGCTGCTCCGAGCCTGGGGGAGCTGGGAAGGCTGCATTTGATGAAGGTGATCTGACCAGTCGGTTGACCCTTAGTTTCCCGAGGAGAAAACATAAGTGTTCTCAGTCCCACAGGAGGACTCGGCTGCGTTCTCAGCAGCCCACACCAGGGCTGGCAGGCACTAAAGCCGTGATGCTGTTGTTGGTAGTATTATTATTTAGTTTGCTAGAGAGTGCACTCAGGGAGAGAGACAGAGTCCGAGAGACAGAGAGAGGGAAAGTGAGAGTGCGCTCCCGGGGGAGCCAGGCAGCCATCCCTTCTCCGCCATTTCTCCTTGGGGGATTTCGGGAATGCGTTGCTCAGCACCCAGAGTGTTTCTCAAGCTGCCAGAGACAGGATTCAGACCGTCACATGTGGGATCCGGCCCCTATTCCAGCATGCCACCGGCTGGCCTGCTACATTTTATTGTCCTATCTACTTATCTGTATTACCTACGTCTATACCTGTCTGCCAATCTACCCACCCCAAAGTCAAACAGCAGGGACTGGCCCCACAGCCCAGTGGGTCAGGGAGCCAACCACAATTCAAAGCTGGGCCCCAGGATCTTAAAAACATGCCTGGGGGCTGGCACACAGCATGGTGGTTAAAGCAGCTGGATCCGAACATGGCCAACAGCTCCGTCCCGGACCTGGTGACTTGAGAAACACGCCAGGCACACGTGCACGTGTGTGCAAAATCCCGACAGGACGGGAACTGTAGATGGGGCTCCAACGTGACCGTGCCCCACAAGGGCTGCTCTCTCTCTCCTCTCTCTCTCTCTCTCTCTCCCCTCCCTCAGCAAGCATGTGGGCCCTCTAGCAAATTAGAGAAACTAACTAACCCACCCCACCACACACAAACACGAAGGAACAAAATGAACAAGCCCAGCACATTCACCTGTGTGCCCCCAATCCTGACAGGATGGAGAAACAGAAGGGCCGGAGCCTGCCCACGCCTCGCCGGGTGCTTCCCTGATTTTCTCCGGAAGTGCCTGCACCCTCTGGGGATTTTTTAAAATCAAGCAGTCACGGGTGCTTTCTGAATGAGGAGGGAGGAGGACGAGCAGGCATCGCACACCCAGGACCTGGCCCGTCGGGGCGCACAGCGACGGCCCGTCATTTCACACTCCGCCAGCCTGGCAGGGGCTTGCCCCACGTCACGGGTGTAGAAAAGGAATCTCAGAGGACAGTGGCTGGCGTAGCAGTGACATTGCTGGACTCCCACATGGCCAGCCGAGGACTGAGTCCTGGACCCAGGGGTGTGAAAATCACGCCCGGCATGTGTGCGTGGTGCCTAAGATACCTGGAGGGGGATGGAGGAGATGGCACTGCGGGTGCCCCTCCTCCTGGGGAGGGGTTTATTTCTCACTTTCCCTCTCACTGATTCTGTCTCAGGGGAGCGCACATGCCCTAAAGGTAAAAACCTCTAACAAAACAACAAAACAAAACAAAACGGAATGAAAAGCTCAGGCTGAGGAAGAGACTGGCCGGAGGCTACGCTGTGTGGGGGCCGTGGGAGTGGGAAGGCCAGGCTGGCCCCATGTGATCTTGAGCCAGGACTCTGAGAAATGGAACCCCAAGGACTCGGGCTCCGAGTGAAGGTCAGGACGCCTAGCCCACCCGAGCCTCTCCGGCTGCACTCAGACACGGGAGGCTAGAACAACTCCCGATTTCTTCCGAACTTCCCGTGGTGTTTCCAGCTAGCCTTTTTAAACAAATGGGTAATACAAAGTAGTTTAAGAAAAAAAAGCTCCAGCCGTATAAGAAGGTATACTAGGTCCATCTCCTCCTGACCCCGCAGTCCACCCTACTACAGTCACGTGTGTCCCTCCGTGGACACAGAGCACATGGACGTAAGTGCCCCACATGCACAGTGGCCTCAGGACACATCCCGTCCCACCTGCTGTGCTCACGCGGCCCGTCCACCCCGGCCCATGTCAGTTACACAGAAGGGCCGTGGCCATCTGCTTCTATAGCGCAGAAGAGCGCTTTGACCGGCTTCTCCACGGGCGGAGACCGCCTGTCAGTCCA